ACATATATGTAACTCTTATGTAACTTGAAACAATATTGAAATTACTACAAACGATAATAAAATTATATTTCAGTGAAGTAACCGAAGAGTATCAAAATAAATTAGTGTATGCCTTTCTCTTTATTGCCAGCTTACTTAACGATTGGATCATTTCAATAATTTAAAACCTATAGTCTTACGAAAACTAAGAAATGAGTTTCGAAATATGTATGAAATTCCGCGATAAAGCTTATAAGGATCAATCTTGGCTGTGAGAATGAAGAGGAAACTAAATCTTTACAATTACAGAGCATTCTTTACTAAACAACTTCAGTTTTTGGCAGTTGAAATGATCATAAGTCGCAATGAACAAGTATTATTTCAAGTTAACTGCTGTTTTGACTTTTGGACGTACAGATTTCATGTGTGAATCGCGCGAAAGATACTGTCTTGCCGGTTAACAGAGCATCGCGAGGATTCAGCGATCAGCGATCGCTGATTATTTACAGAGAACGTTACTTGTTGCGAACGCGTATCAAGAAAGAACAATACGATATGCGGAGCGGCGCGGGTAGCTAACCGACCTGTTCGACTGTCGCCGCGTAAATGATAGGCACAATGAGAATAGACTATTTTCGACCAAAGTGTTTACGGCGTTCGACGTCCGGAATTCCAAGAATTTCCGCGATTGATAAACCTCAATAATCTGATGTATGTACTCGAGAGAACCCCGTAGATTAAAAAACGATACTCATGAAAACGACTAGAACTGATCTGAGAGCGGCGTACACGGCGTGTACCGATACGTAGATAAAAATGAGGAAAATGTGGAAATCCAGGAAATTTCTCTATGTTTCAATCAGCATAGATAAATCTACAAAATTTCGTTAAAAATGGTAGGACGAAAAATTATAACAGCCCGGAGGTTATTGCGGAAATAAAACGGATGGAACGTGGAAATTGCGTTCGTGGCTTGCACCATGGGGAGTGCGCGGCCGCACATATCGGAAACAAGTGATTTTTCGAGAATTCCGTCGGGTTATTCGAAAAATTTGAAATTACTGCATACTTATTACGACGCCCGTCGCTGATCACCGGGGGAGAACGAGCATATATCGCGAGCAATCTCGAATATATACTTATTGCCTCGATAATATTAGATCCCTTACCACATGTTTTCTCATAAAATGAGATCGGGGCACGTACTTCAAAGGGAATGCTTCGTATAGCACGGTTATACCGTACGGGGACATCATATTCAGGGGATATAGATAGCGATGTGTAGTAAGAAAACGTATATGCGCATATATAGCCTCGTCGATAAAGCTCATAGGTGCATTTATCGATGTATTGCCGGTTCAGAGATCACCGTGATTGCATCTTGAGACTCGTAAGAAAGTCTTTTGCGTGATTCCCATAGATTGGATTTCGCGTGATCAGTCAATGCCGTGATAAAAGAATCGCGCGTTCAAGTTTACCGAATCTCATTTTGAGAAGAACGCCTGGAACGGACGATGTAACGATTCGTATCGCGACAACAGTCATAATATCGAAAAAGATCCGGCCATAACGAAGAAATTTTTCAAATTTCTGATCATCTATTATTGTTTGTCTAAAAATTCGTCATGTTAAACGAGCTTTAAAAGGTAAGAATCACGAAGCACATATTAAACTTTAAACGCATATCTACAAACAACCATAAAGACCTTAATTTATTAATGAAATTACGTATAATGAATTTATTTGTAAAATTACGTATAATTAATAAAAACTACCCTCGCGATATAAAACAACTTTTTTAATATGTTATGTTTAAAAAGTTATTAGAAATCCACTAAAGTTACAAGCGAAATTATTGTTGAATGTGAGTTAACTGTTCGCTTAATTTTCCTTTTCAACGCATTTATGTAACTTTTTAGCAGCTCTAACAACTTTAAATGGAACATTAATAAAATACGTTAATATGTAGATATGTAGAGAGATTCTAGATACTAGAAAATTTGAAACAATGGCATGCATGCGTGGCATCAAAGTGACCTGATTTGCAAAGTTAACCATAGCGCCAGTTTGACTCTGTTGTTCTTGTGAAAATCAATTTAGAGCAACCGAATGCGAACCCGATCCGCCATAAATTCGCGCCTGCCGATTGAAATCGCGCGCACGTCTCGCAATGCATTATAATGCATTTTCTACGTTGCGAGGACGTGACAGTTGTTACGGCTCGATTGATTTGTCGCCGTGTATGAACTTCCGCGTATATATAGACACTAATACAGGGACACGCGAAGGAAAGCTTCATCCCCGGCAATCTCGCCCGATCGAATAAATTTCGCACGATAATCTTTCGTTGCATTCGCGCGATCGACGCCGTCCTTCTTCGCAGATACGTTAGAAAAGCTTGGCGAAACGTACAGTGAATGGTGCAAATTGAGGCACGTTTCGATCTCGCTCGGTGATAGTAACAAATTGACGAGAACTTTTTCATTACGCATGGATATGTCACACGTGAGGATATTCGCACCAGAGAAAGAATTTGTCAATAGTTTCATCGCATGCGCTTTTTTTTTCTGTACGTCATGGCATCGTCGCGACCTCTTATAAAAGAAAATTACAAATAATAACCGCTTTTGACGTGGTTCGCCATTTAATCCGCTTTCACGCTTTTTCCTACAAAATTCCGCAATTAATGAAAAAATAAATTTCGTAATATGCGAAAGAGCCAAGCTTCGAAGATTGACACATGCCAGCGAATTCGCTGCCCCCTCAAATAAATTTCATACGATAATCTTTCAATGCTCGCGTGAGCGACGGCCTGCCAGGCTGCATTTTCTTTCTTCGCACGTTCGCACGAGTTGCATCGAGAAAGTTTAGTCGCGCGTGCGTGCGGTGGATTGAATGCGCCAAATTGGCGTGCTATTTGATTGGCACAAATCACCGACGAACTTCGCGCTCGTATCGGAATCGACGAAGGAAGCCCGAGAGAAAATCACTTTTATTCGTGCCGCGCGCGTATAATCTAATTCGTTCCGTATAATCTATTCTCATTCAATCCGATAAGAATAGTAATTTGCATATGCCGCTGGCGCGATAAGAATAGATTCTAGAAAATACGAAGCAACTTTCTTAACAAATACATAGTGTTATTTTACTGCTGACCTCCTAAAACTGCATATTTATGTGTCAAATTAAGGAACAGCAAATTGCAATATTTTATTATTATTATAGTATTATAATTATTAGTTAATAATAATTATATTTCTCACCTGAGAAAATACAAACTACACTTTTTTAAATATTTTGTGCGTAAGTACCTAAATATCAAACTAGTATTTGAAACATCAAAGACACTCGAAATCCAATAATCACGGTATCTAAAAACTACAAACATTTATTTAACACTGACACGATATTTTTATATTGTATATTCTCTTTAGGTACTCTTGTCATATTATATTCTGGAAGAGATCTGACTCGAATAGTTCGACATTACTTCCGTCATTCATCGCATCGAGTTTTCTTTCAGCATAAATTCTGTTCTTGACAATCGTATCAAAATTTAAGTTAAAATACTCATGTACGTTAGTTATTACTTTGATATTAATATTTAGTGCATCTTCGAAAAGAATAAAAGAATATACATTTTAATTCAATAAATATGTAGCTGATTGAAATCAATATCATCTAACACGATTTCTTGTTTGTTCTAAGCCACGAGCAAATTTTATTGCAGCAAAGATTCGATATTTGTATTTGGGATTGAATGTACAGTTGTAGGTATTTCTGTGATGGAATGACAGAGATATACGTATATGTATATAATCATGATACATGTAAAAATGGTTTCGTATTCTATTGATTTTATGTTACTTTCTATATTGATAGCGATGGATTGGCATTCTTGTTTAGAATTGATATTCCGCCTTTCGCAAAATTGATATTTCCCTTGTCAAGAATTGATATTTCGTTCAAGGTTCGTTTGAAAATCAGTAACGAAAAATTGATACATATGATGCAAATATGAAATATTTTCTGCGAGGATATATCAATGCCAATAGCCATTGCAACTGGTAAAACCGGTTAAAATAACTATTGCCGAAGCGTTAAAATCATTCAAGTTAATACTTCATTATTAACATTATTTTAGCTAATTTTTATAGTCGTTGCGTTAACTTATATAAAAAACCAGATAAAACAATTCCTTTTCGATTTGTGTTTTATAGATAAACGCGTTACAGCTACAGCGAGATCGCCGAGCGTCGCGTCGTGTTATTTGCGCGCCGAGACTTGAGTCAGCAGGTAAAAGCGCGTGCTGCTCCGTATATCGCTGCATTACTCATAGAAATGCGACTGCGTCAAGTACCGAAAGACACGAAACGCAACTTTTCTCTAATAATCATCTAGTGCGAGTAATTAATTTTAATTTCGCGATTAACGACTACACTGTTTATCAAAGGCTTTCAACTATTCAAAGCGGATATTTATTTCACGGAATCGAAGCGGATGAGGAATAGGAAATATTAAGTACCTTCTAAAAATTACTGGACATTCACGTCTGCGGACGCCAATAATTCCTTGAGCAACATTTAAAGTGTCTCGCGCTTTGAATTTTTCGCTGATTTGAATATAATCGTATCGTTATTTTTGAACTGAAAGCACGGAGTAATATACACATGAATATTACATATATCAGACATCTCGAAATATGTATAGAACATCTGTCCATAATCATTTGCAAAATTGTAAATGTCATGAAAAAGAATTAGAGCTTTATATCGTACCTACTTTTCTCGTATCATTGTCGCAATCCAAAAACAATTCGCGTCACAAAAAATTTTAGAAAGAGACGAGCAAATGCATATAAGTATATACAGGAGTACATGTTTTCCTATACTTATATATTCTCTTCTGAAATATCTACAATTTCATCAGTTGGAAACGCTTTAAAAGGTGCTAGAGAATTACCAACGCGATATTGTCTGCTGCTACAGTGAATAATAAACATCACTAGGTCATTACAAAGTCGCTCGACCGAGCAGTCGTTCGAAATTAGTTTGGTCGAGTTCATCATCCGGAGCTGTTGTGTCGTGGAAAGCCGAAAATGACAGTGCTAAAATTTGCAGAAGAGTTTACGCGTTTAGTTCTTCGTTACTCGAGATCTTTACCGAATGTAAGTTTTCGCTCGACTAAAGATCATTGTTATAAATAAAAGTAAAACGTAGTTGATGCAAGTATCACCATTCGTGACCGTTATTCTATTTGTACATGTTCAGAGATAGAGCGAAACTTTTCACATAATCTGTGACTATTACGTGTGCATTTCAGAATGACCCATCGAATGATATGCCTTTAAACGACGAAGAAATAATCTTCACCATACGTCATGTGCTTCAAGTACTTTCGATAAAAGACGTGGACAAGAATAATAACACCGCAAATGCTGTTGGCATTCCAGAAACTTCGCTCGTTGATATCAAACAAGAGAGTGAGAATACGTGGAGGTTGTTATGAAACTTTTGCATATGGTCTAACGATTATGTATATATTTTTCATGCCAATATGTTTTATATTTACAGATCTGAAGATGTTTTATCTGTTTGTACGGATGATGGTGCTTCTCTTACTGATACCTCACCAAAAGTTACTGAAAACGAACAAGAGAATTTTTCCGGTACATTGCAAGACCGAAAGAAGGTAAATTTCTTTAGTTTTCTAAACCGTTATCCACCGTTACTTATTGATGAGTAATTTGACTTTTTCAATTGTATATGTATAGCTAGAAAATTGAGTGATCTGATTATTATTTGACTGTCTAACGTGTTATTAATTCCAATTTATCATTTATCTATAGTTTATTTCACAATCGAATCCTGCCATCTGTATTAACATTAGTAGATCTGACACTTTTGTTCACGAGGAAAGCCAAAAAATTACTGAAGACCAGGACAACGTTTTCGAAGATTCTATAAATACTGAAACATGCGATTTATCAGAGATAAGCGAGCTTCTGGGAGCATCATTGAACACAATACGAGAGTCTACCATGAAGACTACTACAAATATCACAGCAAAGCTGGATAACATAGAAGCACTGTTAAAGGTAATTTAAAAGTAATTGTTAAGATAATATGTATGTATAATGAAATATTATTTATGCGCACCGTCATTTATTTTACAGCAATTATTTTCAAAGAAATTGCCAAAAGCAGTTACAAGTTCCACAAACTGGTCGCAAAAGATGAAGATAAATGCAGGAAATTATCAATCTTTATCTAATGGTCATTCTAGTCTCCGTCACACTCCAATTACAAACAAACCAAAGGTGTCGCCTAACAGTCGCAAGTCAAGTTCCTTTTTACCAAGAACATCAACATCTTCTAAATTGAGCGTAAAAGAAAATATTTCCGCGAGACGTAAAAGTACTGACGGAATCAGAACTAATGCATCTGCTGAGATATCTGTCAAATCTAAAGTGAGTCGTTCGACATTAAATATGAACACTTTGTCACCACGTACCAAAACATCACCAAGTTCATCCGCTGAATTTCAACCTAAGTTAACGAAAAATCCGAAATATGCTCATATTAACAGCATTATATCGAAACAAATTAGTCAAAAGAACAAAATAAAATAATTACTTTTTATAGAATAACATAAAAATATTTTGATAACTTTTGGTTATTTTTTTATCGTAAACTTTTATGTCAAGTAAATTATAATAATTCAATTTTAGAGTTTATCGTCAAATGTAATTAATCAAAAATAACGGAAAGGAAAATAAAAATAAAATAAAGACAAATAGAGTAGAATATTATAGATATTTTATAGAATACATGGATAATTTATAGAATATAAAATATTTATTGGCTTATATTAGAAAAGCTAATTCTTTATATTTTATTTATCTCTATTTGTTGATATTTAATATTTTAAAACACATATATTTTATAACATTTTAATCATTATTTGCATATTGTACTTTTCTAACATAAACAAAAAAATAATATTAAAAAGATTTATTAAATAAAATACTTATAATTAGATAAAATACTCCGAAAAATTTGCACCAATTTAATAATTACATTTCGATTAAAAATCCACAGCGTGTACTCAGCTGATTATAAAGAAAAGAATAATTACTCGTGCAAAACTTGATGCTATGACAATATGGTACCGATGTGAAGTACAATGTGCAAAGAATTATTAAAATGTTATAAAATATTTAATATCAACAAATAAAGATATCTTTTGATAAAAATCATGTCACGGTTATAAATAGTGTCCTTAGAAACGTTGTAGTAATGTAAGGGAAAGAATATCAGCGAAATATTTATGATAGACCGATGTAATTAAGGTCAGAAGAATCATCAGGCGCACAATAATTTTGCGTACATATAGAAATGTTTACCTAGCTTTTGAATAATGCATTATGTAAGTATACCGCTTGACATAACCGTTCGAGATATTCTTACTTTTTCGCAATCTCACCAAAATATTGTCATAAAAGATGTATCAAAACATTTTCTCTCCAAAATTGTATAAACATTATTTAATTAAAGTGATAGTATTGAATAGACAATCCCATGAAATAAAAATAAAACATATTTTTTAAATATTTTCTTATTGCAACCTATTAAACAACGTAAACAAATTATCAGTCTCAGACTCCCCCAAAAAATCAGGAGAACTTGTGACTGTCATTTCGGCAGTCTTGTTTTGTTTCACCTTAATTCTTTCCGCCACAATGACAGTTAGAGACCCGCAGTAACGAGAAATTTTCAGCGAGCGTAATAGAAATAAAAGTGGTTATTGAAATTCTTCGAGAGCAGGACGAAATCGCTCCCGCGGGCCTCTTTCTCTCTTTTTCAAGCAACTCCGACGTCGCTTAAAGCCATTCTTTCGACGGACCACGTGCCTTCAGGCTGGGATTGAGCCGCTAAGGTATTCCTGAAGTGAGCAACGCGCGAACGTCTCTCTTGCTCGTGACTCTCGCTCTACTTCTACCGCCTTTCCCTTTTGTATGTGCGGCCCTATTCCTTTTCTCTATACTGTCATCGCTAGGCGTTTGTTAAATTTATTCGTAAGACTGAATCTACCGCAATGAGACCGACGAGATTTACCGTATCGCCGTAGAAGATAATCTGGAAAATAGATGAAGCGCACCATTCTATTTCGTGTGATCTTTCCGAAGCGATCGCCGTCTCGGACAGAAGATTGATATTCCAGCAATGCAATTTCAACCAACGGATACGTCGCAATACGTTAAATTTATTAAGTTTACACTTAAATGTTTCCGCGTTTTCAATAGATTTAACATTTATCTGAGAAAACGCAACATATTAAAGCAAAGATTTAATTTCATGTTGTAACGTCTTCTTACTCATTGCAAGATAAACGCTTCGGTGCCATAATTTCTTATAGTGTTGCCAACGCTGTGTTTCATATACAATTGAAAATGTTACAAAAGTAGTATCTACTGAACTGTTTTCTGCATATTTCTTGTGAAATTTTTCGAAGATGGCGGAAAGAATTGATGAGGAAGCGCGACGGAAAGTGCGCGGCGCAATTTACCGAGATAAAAGGTAATTCCGATTATTAATGACACTATTCCTTTTGCACGTAAAGAATTCTGCAAGGATTCCGTGTTTCGCTCGATATCTTGCGGGATTAATAATACAGGGTGGCGGTAGCAGGGGACGGCGGGGAAAAGGCACAGAGAGGCAGAAGGGGAAACGATAAATTATCGTACCTCCGCACTTAGCCTCGAGATACCGGCGGAACTCCTCGCTACCGATATCCTAAATTTACATCGTCGACCAGGAAAATCTTTCGTGAGAATTTCATTGCGCGAATCGCGCGAGAGAGGGTCGGAGCCGGTCGGTAATTCACTTCGCAAGCACGAATCTCGAGAAGGTTATCTTATCCGCTCTGGCCCCAGTCGTTTACTCCCAAACACATTCTGTAAACGCTCCGGGTACATTGATCTTCAGTTTTCCGTTGAAGCCCGCCGGGCCAATGTATTCCGACAATAAAATTTTCTTATCCTTTTAACAGTCTTCTAGTGAACACACCCCTGTCGGTGGAGGTTCTTCCGCTGTTAAACGAATTAATCCCGTAACTTCTCTACCGATAATAATTGATTTTACTGACATTATATCGTCATACCGTTAAAAGCCAAACGTTCTAAAATCGGACGAATAATTTGCGGAAAGCGCGGAACATATGTTGCTTCAATATTAAAACTTTTTGTACGTATTTAATATTATTATTAAAAAATATAAGTGTATCACGTTTTTATCTATAATAAGACTGTGAACATATTTGATTCATTAAAGCTTATTTCATAAAGCTTTCCTTAATGAGCAATTATAATTGTTAAACTAGCCGGAGGCCATCAAGTGATTTGGACAAGATCGCTCATAAATCTAATAGTTTAAGACGGATTTTCTAGAAAACCGTTTGTTGCGCTGTATCTCGCAATGGCCAATTTACTCTGAAAATGATGATGGTCAGAGAGAAGAAGAGCGGAGAGACGAGTGCGGCGGGAGAATAGGGGGATTGTCAGAAAGAGAGAAGCTCTATATTGGAGAGTAATCGTACAGAGCGAAAGGGAGAGACGGTGAAAGAGGATGTGATACGGAGAAACGCCTGCAGACATCCCTTAGGCCGTCTTGCAATGACGGGATATGCGATACATACGCTACGCCAAATGCAATTTCACTAATTGCCAAGGATAATGCCGTCGGTGCCCATCTACGTTCGTAGTTTCGCTCATACACGGCGCACGGTACTCCACTTGTGTATTAAATGGGTCGTACGCAGCTTCCACGAAATTCGAAGTAGGTGTATCTCGCCTCGACAGTTTAACTCTTTGTGGCTCGACAATACAAAGCCTGCATTAAAGTATAGATTTAGGAGACGAGAACGATTCGCCCCTAAAATCGAAAATTTCTAACTAACAAGCTAATTTAACTTGCAGAGGCAACTAACATTGAGCGATAAAAGGATTTTCACGATAATAATCTTGTCTAAAAATCACATGTTAAAAATACGTGCCTCAAACAGTGTTTAATATCTTCAAGGATAAAGTGCCGAGTAATTCGATAAATCTGATATTCGAGCAAAATTGTCCATAGCGAAAACCAATGTGACTTGATGAGAAAGAACGCAATACTTAACATTTAACGTGAGATTGGTACCTAATTATTTAACATACCAGAGCATAGATGTTTTCATGCTATTAATCACAATAATACGTGGCAACTGAATACAAAATGTCAAATCTTATGAAATAAACGTACCGAATATATTCTGTTGCCATGTGCCAACGAAAGTGTATAACGCGCGAATTTTATAAACTATATCTGGACAATCGTCTGCGACTCGATATTTCTAACGAGTTTCGTTTTACCTGTCATCTACCAACGGTGCGTGATGTATCATAAAAAATTACGTACGCTTCGGCCGACTCGTATATTTGCTGATACGGACAGCCCTCCGCGCCGGTTTAGGGGCTTGCAACGCGATGAAAAACGCGACTATAGAATCCAGATAGCGCGTATATTTGGCAAGAGAATCCATTTAGTAAATACCGAATTCCCAGGTTCAATAATGTATCAACGAAATCAACTGCATTCGTAATAAGTACGCGCTTCGGCATGTTGCTTTTACTATCATCTTGAATATTCACCAAACTAATTGAAAAAGCCAAAAAATATTCTTGCATTAAATATTTATGCGTTTGTCTAGACAAAAGTAGCAAAAAGTTAAAAACCACACGCGAAACCATATTACAACCTTATTATTTCAAACGACATATTAATAACTAAAACTTTAAAAGTTTTGAAAGGTCGAAGCAAAAAATTGTTTGAAAATTTCTTTTAACTTAAAACAAACAATAAACGTAAAATTTTTGTTATTAAACTGTACAGATCTAATTATTTTATGGATCATTTTTTTATCATATTCATTTCAGTTAATTTACTAACAAATAATTGCGGAACATTTTACGCCTTTCAGAAAAAAAATGTATTTCCTTTGTAAACATTCTCAGTAAGCCAAAAATTAATTATATGGTATATCCATACAATTCTATCACTATATAGGAAATAAAAATTTTGAATTTTACAACTACTCCTTAATCTTGCCTTTGCAGCTCAATTTTAATAAAGCATTATCTTATCATGAGTTTGCATCAAACTATTGCATCTTTCACATGATGGATGTAATTGTACTTAACTATCCATTATATCGTCAATAACGAAGAGCCTCTTCCAACAATCACTCTGAGTGTCACTCTATGAATCGCCCATGAATATCAAGTGCCTGGATCTTGTGTCGATCATCTTGATTCACTAGTGATCGCATGGCATGCCAAGTGCTTTGAAATCATCAAAGCAAGTGTGACCAGATACACTTATTCGACACTATCGGTAAACTACAGCTAACATCGATAACTGCGAACGATATATCTACTTTACTTCCAAATAGATAATATGTTAAACATAATGTCGGCTAAAAGAACTCGGCATATTTAATAAATTATAATGGGCCGAATTAGTTTGCATCCGGAGATTAAATAAGATTTACACTTTTTCCCTAAACGTATTGAAATACAGCTACTGATAATGAAATATTCTTTATTGTATCAAATAGTGGCGAGTGTGACGCAGAGAAATGTGAGCTGCTTAGTAAAGAAATTAACGAAAAGATCCGAGTTTAAATCCACGGACACCGCTGGTTTTTTTCGGAATCTCCTGAAGGGAAGTGGCAACCACCGAGAGTATCTTGCCACGTATACCCCTTCAGGAATATTCCAGATAGGAGGTTTTCTTCGGCAAAATTAGCAGCCTAACGAAGATGAAGTAAAATCAAATGCTCAATGTACCAGAACGAACTCTATAAAACAGGCTTTAAGCCTAATACACGAGGAGGAAGGGGATCAAATAGTCAAATTAAAATTCCTTATTATATCAAATAATAAAATTCAGGATAGGACGGTTAAAGGTAGATTTATAATAAAAATTTGTTAAGATCGAAATGTAATAAAGATCCAAGCGATCCCTGATTCCTCAGGGTGAGTTGTGAATCTAACAAAATTTGTGGCAAGTTATTTTTTGACTTGCATGTCATCCTAGCTATTGTCTTTCTCCTCGCGTTCATTAATCATGCTATTTCTATCGTTCTACGTATTTAATGAGGCGAATGCCAGTTTGATGCGGCATTATAATAACTCAGCGGAATAATAAAGTTCTCCGCGCGCGCTTCTAGAACGAGCGGGTCTCTCGATAAGAGGAGACGCTGATAACCGTGCGCAAGTTTACACGGCAGAGGGTCGAAAGGTCAATATTGCCAGCCCATCGAACTTATCTCCATGTCACAGGTCCTCACCTCCGGTGTGCGTACGTAACGTATATACATACGCTTCCGAGAGGAAAATTTCTGAGGGAGCCGCCGCGCCGGTGCGTGCGTGCGAAGACTTCCTCAGCTGCGTTATTATCTTATCCGTGCACTCACGCGTGCCCACGAATCGGCTAAGCTTTATTATGAGCCCGAAAGTTACACACGCGCGTTGCCGCGGAATCGATGCATACGCGGCTTATCTTGCTTCCGCATAAGATCTTGAACGCACGCGGTCGGCTGACATTATTGTGGATTGTTAAATCGCAAATGATTCGTAATAAGTCTCAAATGTGAGCAAACAATTCGCCTATGCCGCAAACTTTATGTTACGTGAAATTATGAAAATGAATTCATTTCTCGATCAATTTTTGTTCGATTGAGCTTCATATCAATAGTTGGATCAATTTGTAATTAAATGAAAAAAAAATCGCGCAAGAAGACGATAACTTTTATATTTATAAATTCTAATATATACTTTTCCTTTTCATTTATATCTTTGTATTATTGTACATAATTATAATGTATTATATTATAATTATTGTGGTACAATTATATTACAACCACAATATAATTTAAAATCTGCTTCTTCAGTTTTCAAAGTTTATAGTGAAGCATTTCAATTCCAACCGTATCTCAAGGCAACCCCAATCGTCGGTTTTACCGGTGCAATTTGCATCGCCCCGTCGACGATCGCTGGCAGCGGAAGCTCGCAGACAGCTCGCGACTCTCGTCGCCTCTCGAGACCGTACGGCATACATCCCCCTTCAATCTGGGGATTTTTGAATTTCATATTCCGCGGAGAGTGCGCGCTCACCCTGAACCTACCCCCTTCCTACACTTTCGCGCCGTATACAACCCCCGCGGACCAAGCCAGCCGGCGTTATATTATGCGTAATTCATACCGCGACGTAGCGTATCATTGTTCCGGGAAACAGAGGAATCCCATTACCGGTTGGCAGCTGAACTCTCTCTGTCGCGGGGCCGCGTTTTAGTTGCGGTCGACGAAGCGAATCCTCGCGCCCTCGTTCGCGCGACCACCCCCTCAACGTTTCCCATTCGCCACCGCCGCCTTCCTCGGCGACGATTGAAAGGACGAAGGACCCCGGCGATCTTTGTTCAATGTGCTTTGTCGCCGAGCGTGAATACAAGATACTGCGGACGTTATCATGAGATCACACCGTTTCGCGAGAGATATCGTCAGGAGTGAAGTGTACAAATATTACGGTTGATTGCAAATATTGTAATGATTTATATTTGTATATTCTGAATGCAAGTTTGATAACCTAGTAGCAGAATGCAGCACGTGTACTGTATTTATTATTTTTCTGGATGTACCAAGCAAAAAGCACTATAAAAAGAAATTTTACGTATCATTTATGATATATTGTTAATACACGGAATTTTGTTATGTCTGGAAAGACATAATTTATCCCGATGTAGTTTTTAAAACGCTAAAAATTTTTTAGCAATACAAGAAACAGAAAGAAAGAAGAATTAGAGAGTTTTGCGACTTGAATATTTTAATGATTGAACAATCCAGACTTTGTCCGGGAATTGGACACAAGTTAAAGCTTGAATGGATGCTTCATTTGAAACTTGTTTTTCCCCGTTACATTCCTATGCATAATGTCAAGCTTATTGTCGAAAGTGCGTTAAATAAACGTATCAGCGGGTGAAACGGTAGCGCAACAGTTGTGGAACAATCTACGTCATTCTTTTCGTCGGCCTTTGTCGGTACACGAATAGCCGGTCCGATTGCAGCCTTTATCGTGTGTTTCTCGGAGTTGAATGCGACGAATCAGAGCGAAAGCCGAGCAACTCGCCAGGTCACGCCAAACTAAAGTATCTACTCGAGTATCTATACTTTATGTGACACAATTCAATTGGTGAGAAATAATGGAGAAGCGTGTATAACGAGCCGCGCGTAGGTACGTATCTCGACAGTTATTGTAAATGCCATAAGATCTCCTTTGAGCTAATTATTATAGCATTATACCAAATAAATTAATTACGCATAATTCTAAACCAGAGAGTCTGTGTATTATCTCTCATTACAATTAATTATATAGCACTTTGCGATCAAAACTTTTATATTCATTCGTTATCCGGAATAAGAAATATTTCACTCAATTTGTTTTCGTTATCAATCTTGTATAAAAACCGATAAAAATTCCTATCGATACCCGGCAATTTGTTCCCCGATATATCTTCCACGCGAACACCAGATCGATGTCTTTCTCAATATTTTCGTACACTTCGTTATGTCGTCATTCCACCCCATCCTCGAGATTCGGTCTTTCTAGCATCGAATAACAGTCCCGACTCGACCACCTTACCTCAATACGATATCGTAGAATGCAAACGAGTCGCTATCCGTCCCGTCGTTGTCTATGTTCTATGTGACAGGCGACGTGGTTGTTGAGTTTTCCATGGAGCTCTCGTATCGTAACACAGCCGGTTGCAAACTGGAAAAGGAAGACGGTGGTGAGAATCCGACGACTCGGCCTTCGTATGTCTGCGTAAAATAATGGAAATTCTACTTCGTCACACGCGCAACCACGCCCGTAGCTCGGGCTTACATTCTCGTATCTCACCTCGCATACGGATGCAGGCAGTATTTAATAGTTTAACGAGGTCATAGAATACTTATCAACCTGCTTCTGACCAAGCCAGAGATGACCTGTTGCTTGTTAAACACCAAGGTATTATATTCTATCCTAGACGTCTCGATTTCGGTCTGTATCATATTGAAAGGTCCCGATAATTGATCGCGAGATAGTGTACGATTACCGCGATAGATTCAGCTCTGTATCGGGTTAACGTAACAATTAAGGAATATTTGTAAATAATAATTCCTCAATAATATCAGATTGAACGAAATTCTTCGTCAGATTAAAGCATTGAAATAGGATGAAATGAAGGAAAGACTGGAATGAAGAAATAAGATGTGCAAAAAGTAAAGTTTTCAAATTAAGCGAGATCTATAACCGGACTTCTGGTAATGTTCTCGAGGAATTTTAATTTTAAAGTCAAACAACCATTTCAAGCTAACATCTTATCGATGAACTCGATCAATATGTTCAATGGAATGGATACTTGTTCACCGCGATGAAAAAGCCCCCGCTCCCTCTAATCCCACCTTACGGTTTTTCCAACAAATTCCACGCAATTTATTCGCAAACTATTTCGCAATAACACTCTACGCTCGGACTTAAACGCTCGATAATATTTACACGCGTATATGCAGCAATGAACCGGAGTTCCTCACGATCTTCGTTTCGCCCGGAGCAATGCGCGTTAAATGAATTTCAACTTCACTTCGATTGCTCCAATTCTTGGCGCTTGCATTTTCCATGCATATGAATTAAGGACGTGGATAATAGTTCAAACGAGGCGGTGGCATTCTTACGGCAAAGTTCGTGACCTGTTGCACCTTGTCAAAACCACCGATTCTTCCGACTACTTGATTACTTATCGCGTTATTTGTTTTACAAGATTTTCACAAATTACGTGATAGATAGATCGCTGATAATCGAGCATTGAATAAGAGATAAAATTATCTCACAAATTTTAATTGTGTTATATCATTCAAAGGCTTATCACTAATAAAGTCATCTAAAATGATTATGCACTTCATAACAATCCGTTGCGACATGGAATTAAGATAATAAATATATCAAATAGTTAATATGCTACGTATATATCGTCACCTGATGCAGAAGAGCAAAAAAATGCGAAATTTAAAAAGGAAACAAAGAGAAAACTGCATTACACTGCCGACGCGGCTAATCGCGTATGCATATAAATTTCACTGAAACATGATAGCTTAACGACTTTGAGGAATTCTTACCGACGAATTCGCGACCTGTTGCATCGGTGAAAGCTATGGCATTTATGAAGCCTTAAATTTCTTGTACGTACGCTACAGTGCGCCGCTCTTAAATCAGTAATTCTTTAGCAAACGGGGTTTCTTTTCTTGCTCTTTTACGTGACTTTTGGATAATTAATTTAATTATTTATTAATGGATAAATTTAAACAAATTATAAAGTTAGGAAAATGATTCTTGCAGAAATATTCTTGTAAATTTCTTCATCTTATTTAATTTAAATTTATTATCGTCCCCTCGGAATTATACCAAGTTACGTGTTATTAATTACTGAAGAATCCCTAAAATAAAGTAAAATATCTACGACAAAAGCGTATTTGTGTCATGTTATATTCTGCTACACTAAATAATTTTTATAATAAATTGTAATTGTTTGGCGAAATTTTTTTAAAATCATCCACGATACAAAGATATTCGATTTCAACTCACGTCAGATATTCATAAAATACCGAAGCGTATTGAGTAACCTCGCATTTTAATTTGATGCTTTTTATTATCACGTTCTCTGCTTAGTTCGTTCCCGCTCATCCCAATGTTTCGCTTATTGTTAGCAGTTTGTATAAAGGCGGCACATCAAAGCGGACATCATCAACGCGCGAAATTCGACGATTTCAATTAGCGTCGTTCCGAGGGCAAAGCTCGCAATAAAAGCGGTTCGCGAAATCTGCCTGTCCCACGGATAGTTTTACATTTCGGCGGACACGAAAGAGCGCCCTCCGCCGGAGCGTGTCATTCGTTTATGCAGAACAAAACGAACTTTTGTTCACGCCAACGAAAGTATTGTCGTCTGACTTCACACGGTCAATATATAAACAATTTATGTGACGGAACTAGTGTTAATATTGCTTTAATTTGAATTTATATTAATTAAAACTTATTGTTAGCAGCACAATGTGCAACAACAAAAAGAATATTATTTTAAGTAATCTTTAAAAAAAACGCATTTTTTTGAAAACTTTAGTCGCAAATTAAGCAATTTATCTCTCTAGAGTGTTTTAAAAAGCATGAATAAAATTATATGCACACATATATAAGTACATACATATATATAACATACTTATAGATATATTTTTTTTTATTTTATATTGAATCTGACATTGTGATATAAATTTTATTTTAAATGTCCCCGAAGAATAAAATTTTCTGAAAAATTTTATAAATTGCACGATCGAATTTTCTTCAAAAGATAGCAAATGAGGAATAAGTTCAACAATGTTTCGAAGTTTGCAATTTTGAAATCGTGACTGTCCTTTTCTTTGTTATTGCTTTAATTGTATCGATTATCTCAACTTAAGAGTTGTATTAATTTTCGATGCTTTTCGCGGCTTCAATTTTTATTCTCGCGCTTTCTGGATGGGTGATGACTTGACTTCTCTTTATCAGTCAGGCTTTAACTGTCATTTCTATTGCATTTCAGTCATATTACCAACTATAATTGTAATTATCAGTAAAATTTTACTTTGATTTTCTTACGAAAAATAACAGTTTCTTCGAACAGAGACACGAGTCTTATCCAAGGTATTTAAAACAGCATAATTGCTTTTCTAATCAATATGAATTCATTTTTATACAATAAGAGAGAATGTAATAACGCGTTATATATGTTGCACATATGAAAAGTTACTCTCGGTAAAATAAAAGAACTGCCGCGTATGAGTATGTGCAAGTGTACGTGTGCGTGTATGTGTACAATATTATTCGCCGAAGCGGCAGACCCGACTACGAAACTCAATCAACGAAAAATTTAATTTACCTTTACAATGTCTATAAAACCAGGAATATCATTCGTGTCGGTCAACACGCACAAATCGGCGAGAGTCCCGCGATTATACGAGAGAAGAGATATCATATGATCCCGGATAAAAGCTTTGTGCACAAGGCTCGCACACCATTCCCCTCGATGCGTCCGACGAAACGCTTTGTTGCAATTAGTCGTGATGCGACGGGCTCTGGGTGCTCTGTGCTCAGCCAACAACAATCGGAATCGCATAGTTCCGCGGAGTTCAATCACGGCCGCCATGCAAAAGAGGACTTGCGCATATTGGATCGCCGCGTTCGAAAGTTTACGTTTTCGCAGGATAGCACATTCGATTCTACGCTTTAATGTCTTGTCCTTAGAAAAATATTTCATTTCTCTACATGTGATAGACTTCACGCGTAATAATAACGGCGAATTATTTTCTGGTATTATACATTACGCAGTTCGATTCAGCGCAACATTATAGTTGGTAATATGATTGAAATACAATAAAAATGACAGTTAAAGCCTGACTGATAAAGAGATGTCAAGTCATCACCCATCCAGAAAGAGCGAGAATAAAAATTGAAGCCGCGAAAAGCATCGAAAAGTAATACAACTCTTAAGTTGAGATAATTGATACAATTAAAGTAATAACCAATGTACTCGAAGATGGAAAGTGTCAAAACAATTATGACTTAAATATTTTAATGCCTTTTATCTCTTTAATAAATGTATTTTGACAGAGAAGAATACATTTTGTCAAAAGGAAACAATCAAAAAGCCAAATTTGCATGTATTTATTTTCCATATAGTCATAAAACTATAACAAGTACCGTTTCGTTTTTTATTGAAATAAAGCAAGACGATTTAATAAAATCGTTTTAAATAATATTCAACAAAATATTTCATTAAAATAAAAACTGTAGGTTTGCAGCGTAATATTTGAAAACGTGATTTTTGTATGTGTGAAAACAGTTACCGTTAATAGAAAAACAGAAGCATTTAACCAGCGTCGACAATAAGCTAATTATCCGAAATTTCCATCAATCGCATGAGAATAATTATATTATCTTAATTATTATCGAGCTATACCACGAGATGGTACTTTTACATATTGCGTTCGTGCAGAATTGCGCCGAAAAAGCGGAAACGCCAGCATTGCACAACGCGAGCATTGTGAAAAGCGCAGGCGTGTCTAGAATTCCTGCTGAATAAAATTTTAATGGAGAAATCAAGTATACGTTTGATCTCTCCGTTTCTGCCTGGCTTCCGCGCAGTACGAACAATCGCGGAAAGTATGCCGTGCATTTCGATAGTGAATTCGTTGCTGGCGTCGCGCTGAATATCGGACGCCGCCGCCGCCGCCGTCGTTCGTTGCACAGAAAAGCCAATAATTCAGTGAATTTTTACACGGTCGAGCACCACACTCCCCAAATATTCACCATCAAGTCCATGCGAAAACAACGTAATAATTCATACCGCGCGCCAGTTCAGCGCGCTTTACACGGCAACCCTTTTTAATATACATCTCGATCAAGCTTCTCGATTATAGCGACGGAAAAATTATTTTTTATTTGCATTGCGCGAGTTTCATTGCCAAAGTTGTTTCAAACGCGTACACTATGAAAAAAGAAACCAAAAGATACTGTGATATTCCTTTTATTATAAAAATTTATTTACCCGCCGTTTATTGTGCCAAATACAGGAATTGGTTATAACAATAGCAAAATTTGTACCGTATATTTGTTTTTAATAAGAAATACCTCAAAGTGAAGATTACTGTTATTTGAGTCTGAAAGTTGTGCAAATAACTGTGACAAATACAACAAATCGTTAC